AAGACTCACTACAGCAGTTGGATCCACAGTGTCAGGCTCCAAAGGCTGCAGAAGATACATTTGGATTGGGTCTCAGTGCTGAAGGCTCAACAAACAAGCATCCCTCCACGCAGGAAGACAATTTTCCCCCAATGTATGCATGCCATGCTTCTGAAAACTTTAATCAGGGTGTCTTTGATCCTTTCAATGTTGATTCAACCAAAATGGGCCAGGAGGCTCCTGAAAAAATGAACAGCAGCAGAAATACATCAGAAGTTGAAGAAGATTACGAAAGTCTCTCTTCTGTAGATCTGAATGTGTTAAATGATGGCCTTTTAGACCAGGAGTTCTTTATATAGTTGAAAAAAAAAAGAAGATTGAAAAAAGCATCCACCCCTGCAGCACGAGTTAGCTGATATGGGACAAAAATTGATTCATTAAATCAGTTTAGAAATGCCCCACTCCTCTGGCATGAGACAAATTCAGTTGTGTACAGAATGATTTATTAATGTCTTAAGAAGATAAATTTAAGATCTCTATCTTGGTCATAGTGGGTCAGTTCCTAAAAAAGAACATTGCAACAATTGGCTTCACTGTGAGGAACCTCCAAGGAGAGACTCACCAGGAGCACCCTCTTCTCTGCACCCAGAGGTCTTCTGCAGAGGGGATCTTCTGCAAAATCTACTAGCGAGGCCCCTCAGAGGACGTCTGCATGGCCACTGTCTGCATGGCAGAGGGGAGACAGACCTTCAAAGAGGCCCAACCAGCAAGCAACCATGAGCAACAAGTTAATGAAGAACTAGAAACTGAAACGAGAAGAGAATGCCATTATCAGGAAGGAACCGAATTCTTGGCCACAAGTGCACAAGTAAAATGCAATGGACGAAGGCAAAGCTGAGGAGGGCAGGGTCAAGATTTGTCTCCAAATTAGGTTTAGAAATTTGCAATATTAGCGTTTCAATGTAAACCAGATGCTTATGCCCACATTGGAGTCAATGGAGACTTAGTAAGCACAGTCTGGGGAGTGATTCAGCCCACCCTAAAAGAGACAACTGTATTTGAAAAGCTAACAGCTCTCTGGACTCTTTTAACTGTGTCGATCCATCTCCAGTAACTACAGTGCAACCCTAGCTATCTGTTTCACATATAGACAACTACATTTAGACATCCAGAGATGAATCTAATCCAAAATGTCACACATCTTTTCACTATATGGCTTGCCTACACTTAACATTAATGAAATCTCACTCCCCTCATTATATTTTTCCTTCAGTAGACTGCAAAATTGCTTCACATAGGGGGTCGCCATCATTAGCCTCATTGTTTGATGACCATAGATAAACGAAATGACCTTGCCAATGTCACCCCGTCAGAAGTGCAGAGGAGGAAAGGGAACCCATGTCTCCTGAAGTCTTGGGGGGCAGGGACACTGCTGCATCCGCTCTCCCTGTATGGTTGCACTCTGATCCTCCCTGACTGCCCTTTGCTGCCATAACATAAATGTTATAGGAGTTAACAATTACACTAGTGATAAACAAGCTCACCGGAAATCTCAGAGAGTTAAACCAGGAACACGTGTATTGCGAAAAGGATCGTGGAGCGTATCACTTCATCTGTTTTAATCAGCTGTCTGTAAAAAAAAAAATAAAATAAAATGAAGATGTTAAAATGATTAATTTTTTAAAATAAAATTAAAAAACCCCAACCTCCCAGCCTCACCAGTGCCAAAGTATATCTGGTTCTGTCAGATCTGCTGGAGGAATAAAGCTGCTTAATGACCGCATCTGCTGCAAAGCAGTGTGTCAGTGCTCTGTGCGGGGACACTGTTCCATCAGCATGAATCAGGGAAAAGAGAGACATCCTTGAAAGTTGCATGACTCATTAGATGCTGAAGTCGGTCTCACCGTGGGATGGGGCAAAAGACTTGAGACGACAGAGGTGCTGCCACCTCGCAGCCCTGCCTGAAACCTGGTCAAGCTGTGTTTAGAGATGGAGCAATGAGACCTAAAGGCTTGCAGGGATCAAGCACCTTTCACTGAAGCAGTGGGAAAGGGGTGGCCTGTCATCTGTGCCAAAGATGCTTTGAGTGACACCCCAGACCAAGTTGTCCCTAGCACACCCAGAAACCTGACCTCTCCCTGCCAGCACTGAGGGAAGGAAAATGCAGGACCACATAGCTGGTGGGTACAAATCTGTTCTGGCCGCAATTCATCCCAACATACAGGTGTCCAAATGGGTCTCCAACCACAATCACTCCTGATGTTCAGAGCTAAGAGAAAAGCCAAATCCATGAATTAGTGCATCAATGCCCTACTGCCCGTACCAGTCCTCCTCCCCAGGCAATGGTTTCTCTTTCCAAACTACTCTCTTGGATGGTCCCTCTCCCTTTCCCTAGTCCTTGACATTTGTACATGGATGTACAGGCTTTCCAGCTGTCCATACCAGGCCTTCCCTGAGACCTGCTGATTTCTCATGCCCTCTGATAGATGCTTTTCCATTTTTCAAGAGGCTTTGCAAGTGTTAGTAATCCACCCAGGCCAAACTGTGGGACAGAGAGAAACAAGCACAGAAACTAGCAGCATCGCTCCAGGAAACAGAGGTTTGCAGGGCTGACCCAGCCTTTGTCCCTGAGAGATCTCCATGATGCAGGATTGACCCACTCAGCCCCAGATTATGAAGACAGTCCTAAGAACAACAATGTCCTTCTATGAGAAATGTCATCTTAGAGTGACAGAATTTACAAGGGACTGAAGCTTTCCCAGGGCTTCAGAAGAGTCTGTCTGGTGATGTTAGGAAGAACAGCCTCAAGAAGTCACATCTGCGTTAATGCATGAGACTGCAGTCATGTCTGGGCCACTTCCAAGGAGTTTTCACAATCAAAATCTGACTCTCTTTGCCATAGGAGATGCTGGTGGCTGAGGAGTGGGAGGGAAGGTCACAAGCCACACACAACAGCTTGTTGCACACTGATGGAAAAGACACCTACTCCCTGTTCAGCAGAATGCTTCTGCTGCAGCAGTCGTCTTGGCCAAGTCATCCCACAACACAGCCAGAGATGGATTTAGGGTAAAAGGAACCTCTGGAGGTAGCTTAGCTCACCCTACTGTTCAAGGCATGTCTCTGAATAATAGCAAGTCCTGTCATCCATGGATGTGGATCTAGAGCCCAGTGATATGTTTGGCTGTGTGATGCATGCACATGATACATGTACATCACTAGTGCGAATTTACACAACTCTAAGTAACATTTATTCACCTCTTCCTTTACTCCCAATAACATTAACCAGTATGACCTCTCTCTCCCACCCCACCTTAGGGGGTGATGTTTTAAGGTCCTATCTTCTATCCCTCTTCCCACTTCTATAAGCATGCTGGTGCCGTACCAACTCATGAAACACCAACCCAGACCTGTGTGATCCTTCAGTAACTTTGCTGGAGATTCAGACATACTAGCTGGGTTGAGAGTGAAAGACAAAGAATTTGAGAAGAGACATTGTCTAGTGACCCGTCCTTATTGCTCTGGCAAAAGCAGCCAGGAGACCTTTGCCAAATGTCGTGGTTTTACCCCCGCTGGCAGCTAAACACCACGCAGCCGCTTGCTCACTCCCCCTCGTTGGGATCGGGGAGAGAATTGGAAAAGTTAAACTGAGAAAACTTGTGGGTTGAGATAAAGACGTTTCAACAGGTAAAGCAAAAGCCGCGCACAAGCAAAGCAAAGCCAGGAATTCATTCCCCACTTCCCATGGGCAGGCAGGAGTTCAGCCATCCCCAGGAAAGCAGGGCTCTGTCACGCGTAACGGTTACTTGGGAAGACAAAATGCCATCACTCCGAATGCCGCTCCCCCCCCGCCCCTTCCCCAAGCTCCTTATAAACTGAGCATGACGTCATATGGTATGGAATATCCCTTTGGTCATTGGGGTCAGCTGTCCTGGCCGTGTCCCCTCCCGACCCTTTGTGCCCCCCAAGCCTTCCCGCTGGCAGGGAGGTGCGAGAAGCAGAAAAGGCCTTGGCTCTGTGTAAGCACTGCTCAACAACAGCATGTCTAACAAAAACATCTCTATATTTTCAGCCACTGTTTCCAGCACAAATCCAAAACACAGCCCCATGCTAGCTACTGTGAAGAAAATTAACCCTCTCAGCTGAAACCAGGACACTAATTACACACTGAATTTCATACACTGAGGGCAACTCAGCTTTCCAGTTTCCAGGAATAAAGATGCAAACCACTCAGGGAGTCTATCCAGGAAGCAGCTCAGACATGCAGCAGAAATCAGGTCAATCTGCTTTTCAAGTGACATCAGAACCTCAGGCACAGCCAAGCTGGTGTCGTTTCTTATCCCCAAATCCTGAGTGCTCTGTATGTCTGTGTGCATAACATGCTATGTTTTTCTTAAAAGTACTCTCTAAGCCAAATCTATTTTAGGATTCTCCCCAAGACACTGTAGTTTAGATCTAGTTTTATGACTAACCAGGGTTTCTACATGGGGCAAATGAAAACCGACAGCTTGGGACACAGCTGTCAAGGCCAAGCCTACTTGACTACCAACCACATTTCCTGGTCCAGAGAAGATGTGCTTTTCTGCTTCTCTTTCCTATAGTCTCCAGGATGGGCTATATATCCATTAAGCCATTAATGAGAACAGCAAATTTATTCTGTTTTCTTCACCACAGTTAGGAGAATTAGCCCTCATTTGCAGAGTCACAACTTCATGTCTCTGACAAAACCTTGTGCTGCAGCACAGTTGCCTTCAGGAGGTCTGGGGAGACACTAGGACAAGACAAGCTGTCCCCGTGCTGTCCCCGAGAGTGGCAATGCTCTGGCATCTTTGTTCTGGCCCCAAGAACAGGGAGGGAATGGCTGGTTACAAAGTACACCCTGGAGGACAGCAGTATATCATCGTAATGGATGAATATGTTGATATAAGTGCTCGTTTTATCACACCTGATTAGGGGTTTAGTGCTCACATAGTTTAAACATTAATATTTGCCTATTTAAACAATATGTGCTCTAGTGCAGCCTGGCCATAGAGGTAGTCACGATGACTGAGTTTGGAGACTTTATAAGTGCTTTGGGGGAGTTTGGGCTATATCAGAAATTGCTGGTACTGTTGCTCTCCCTCCCACTACTTCTTAATCCTTTCCAAATGATAGGCCAAGTGTTCATGGTTGTGGATGTGCCACATCACTGTGACACCAGCTGGATCCGTGCTGTCGGCCCCAACCTGACCGAGGAAGAGCAGCTGAACCTCACCCTGCCCCGGGACGTGGATGGGGCGTACGAGCAGTGCTCCATGTACTCGCCGGTGGACTGGGACCTCGGCTCCATCGTGGCGTACGGCCTGAACGCCACGGAGAAGTGCAGCAGTGGCTGGGTGTACCCCTCAGCACAACCGCCGTCCCTGCTGACCGAGGTCTGTAATCGCCTTTTGACGTGCTGGGGATGTGGAAGGGAAGGGATGGGCATATTGTGTCCTGTAGTTTGGTAAGGCAATGCCAGCTGTGGTGTAGTCAGGCTGAGATCTACACCAGGCACTGCAGCACCTTGGCTCCATCACACAGATCACAGCTGTAATCCTTGGAAGACTGTGATGTAGATGCCCAGGGGGCCCGCAGGCGGAGATGGTGAGGGTGAGTCCAGCACATGCTCTGTCCACCATCCCTCCCCTTTCCAGTATCCAGGCCCTTGAGCCCATGAGGTATCTTGCCTGAAAGAACCTTTTGGGTGTCCCTGACACAGTTTCCCTTATTCTTCAGACTGGTTCTCCTCATATCAGTTCTCTGTGAAAGGCATTTACCATTCCAAAGGCTTGTCATTGATATTTCTGGCGCCTCTAAATACCTTGAGGGCTGCAACAAGCCATCCCATGGGCCATGCAGTTGAGCAAAGTCTCTGTCTATCAGCATCCCCAACTTCTCCCTCTCTGGACCTCTGTTCCTCTCCCACTTTTCCTTATTCCGCCCTTCCTCCCTCCCTCCCTCCCTCCCAGCTCCAGCACTTTCTCTTGAGTACCTTCCCCTGAGCTGAAACCAGAGGAGAGAGTCCAGCCTCTGGTATTTGCAAAGGTTCCTTGGGGTCCCTGGAGCACTTTGTCCATTTCACAGCTTCTCTAGAGGCTCCTCAGCAACTGCTGCTGCATCTCTTCCCACTCCTACACCAGTCCTCCTTTACCAGAGAAAACACTGTTCTCCTGCCCTGCTTCTCCTTCAACTCTTTCCTGACTTTGCAGCCAGAGAAGCAAGCTGCTAGGACTCTTATCCCAAGGTCCCACTTTAAGCAAAACTTGCCAACCAGGAGGGTACCTCAAGGATGCCTGGGCTGGAGGTCCCAGCACTCAGGAGATGTGCATCATGGTGAAGAGGCAGGCTGAGCACCTCGTACACCTGTCCCACCTCTGACTTGTGTCCCATGTGCACACCACAGAGGATCGTGTCCTTGGGGGTGGGTTCTCTGCTTCCAGGGGCTGGACTGAGAGCTCGAGCACCTGACTCCTGGGTCCACCATGGACCAGAAGGGCTGCCCACCCCCAGAAAGCAGCTGGGGTCTGTTGAGAGGAAAAGTAGCTGTGTTTCCTTCCTTTAGTTTGACCTGGTGTGTGACAGGAAGGACCTGAATGACATCTCTCAGTCCATCTACATGGCAGGGCTTCTTCTAGGATCCATGATGTTTGGGCCACTAAGTGACAGGTGAGGAAGCACAGCCACCTTCCCAGAGTTACTGCCCAGCACCCAGGGACAGCCCAGCTGAGAGTTCAGAATGTCCCTGCACTGAGCATGAAATACTCCCTCCGCAGGACTTGATCTCCTTGCCTGAGCAAGGGCATCTGCGGCCGCCTGACATGTCTGTAGAGGTCTGAGGGTTGAAAAGAGGGGGAGGCAGATACAACCTTATAGGGCTGTCATTCAGGAATCACAGGTCTAGCCTCAACTGATGTCTCAGCTACCCAAGGGTGTCTCCAGGAATCCTAGAAACCACCACTTGGGCACAGAGTTGGACCCACCTTGTGTTAACCAGACCATGTGTCCTTCCTTCTTGTGGCTCTGCTCAGCTCATGATGACCCAGACCAAAGTCCTCAGATCCCTAGAGGACACAGCCACGCAGGGGACAAGAAAGGAAGAAGTGCACAGCATGTGTACAGGGTGCCTCACAAGGGAACCAGCACTACAGTCCATTTCAGTCTGATCCTCACTGCTCTCAAGAAAAGGGACACGGGGGCCCTTCAAGGGCTAGTTCCTTTAGCAGCATCTCCTTTCACCTTTGCTAGCACCATGATGGGTCAAAAGTGGAGATGCTGCTTTTCCTTCCAGTTACTTCCTGGGGCGTATAGAGGAGCTTTCTTCGTGCAGGTGTCAAATCTCTGGTGTGAATGCTTCTCAAAGAAGTTGAGGTTGTTCAGCCCAGAGAAAAGAAGGCTCCAGGGAGATCTAATTGTGGCTTACCAGTACCTGAAGGGGCCTACAGGAAAGATGGTGAGGGACTGTTTATCAGGGAGTGCAGTGACAGGACAAGGGGGAATGGGTTTAAGCTGAAGGAGGGGAGATTTAGATTAGATGTTAGAAAGAAATTCTTTACTGTTAGAGTGGTGAGGCACTGGAACAGGTTGCCCAGAGAGGTTGTGGATGCCCCATCCCTGGAAGTGTTTAAGACCAGGTTGGATGGGGCTTTGGGCAATGTGGTCTAGTGGGGTGTCCCAGCTCGTAGCGGGGGGGTGGAACTAGATGATCTTTGAGGTCTCTTCCAACCCAGACCATTCCATGATTCTATGATTCTGTGAAATCCCTTTGTATTTGAAGTGGGCTCTTCTCCATCTCCACAGAGTCTCTCCAGATACCAACTGTGTCCTCCCTATTCCTCCACAGGATAGGCCGTCGGCCAGTCTTTCTGATCTGCCTCGTCTTCCAGGGCTTGTTTGGTGTAGGAATTGCCTTTGTGCCCCATTTCTATGTGTACATGGCCTTCAGGTGTGTCGTTGGGGCTTCGGTCTCAGGAACTCTGATTACTACCTTGGCTTTAGGTGAGTAGGATGCCCTGAGGCAGACAGATGTGGCCTCACATGGTGCAATAACAAAGATAGTCCTGCATGTTTCAAAAAGGGTGACCCTGAGTACTCATTCTCCTCAGCTACAGAATGGGTTGGTGTCTCCTCCCGGCCAAAGGCAGTGCTTATTTCTCATTGCTGTTTCGCCATCGGACAGATGATTTTGGCTGGTTTGAGTTACGGTATTCGCAACTGGAGGCTGCTGGAGATTGCAGGATCTGCTCCTGTATGTGCCCTTTTCTTCTACTTCTGGTAAGCAGGAGCAAGGCAGAGCTTCTTGAAGACATGACAGCAGTAGGTGTGATGGGTGGCAGTGAGGAGGCAGCAGC